TCCCCCTCCTCCCCTCTCCTTGTCCCCAGTCTCCCTTCTCCCCATCCCAACCCTTTCGCCTCCTTGCTGCCCTCACTCGGGTCCATGAACGCCCCTCGATCCGCGAGAAGCCGTGGTGTCGATCCTGGAGCCGTGATTGGCAGTCGGCTCGGCGGGGCCTGGGGCCTGGCCTGGGCGGTGCGGGTGCTCATCTGTTTGTTTGGCTCGAGTCCCTGCGGGTCCCTGCGGGTCCCTACCCACCCCGGGGGCGTATCAGCACCGCCCCTTCGACCTCACCCTGGCTCCCTCGTGCACGGCGAGGCGAGGCGCGCACCCACACATCTGCAATCTGTGAGCTCGCCTCTTTCCCCCTTGCTGCTCCCTCTCCCTCCCTCTCTCATTGATTTTCCAGCCTCCAGCCCCTCTCTCCCTCAGTATCCCGCGCGCACTCTCTCTCTCTCCATCCCTCCCTCCCTCGCTGTGGCCCGGACACAGGCGAAAGGAGCTGGTGCGCATCCCCCCTCCCCTTCCCCCGCGGAGCCACTACGCGGCAGGGCCGGGTCCCGCGCAGCAGGGGGCTGGACTGGGAGTCAAGTCGGTCTGGACGAGACTTGACCTCTGCTGGGTCACCTTGCCGCGTGGCGGGGGCTGATCCGACCGTCCGGTCCAGTCCGTCGCGGCCGCCGCGTATGTTCCCGTATGCAAATGAGCCAGTTGGTGTGTGGCACTGGGCGAGGGGGGCGGCGGGCGGGTGGCGCTGCCAAACGACTGGCGAGGCGGGGCGTGGATTTGCCGTCCGCCAAATGTTGAAGCCTCTGTCGCACTCACTGGCGCGGCAGTGCCCACCACCCCTTTCTCCCTCCTTTGAGCTCCGCCATCCACCCTGCTTTGGGGACATCTAAATGCCTTCTTATTCCCTCTGCAGAGGCGTACGAAGGGGGCGACGTCGCCGCCTCGCCGTCAGGGAGACTTCGCGACAACGACGAGCCCTCTGGTTTCTTTCCCCCTTTGGAGAGTTCTTCGTGGTCGGGAACGCGGCGCGAGAATGGAAAAGTGAGTGTGTGTGGAAATGGGGGGGGGGTGCTGGAGGTTGAAGTCGCTCCTGCATTGTGCTGCCTTCACCAGAGGGACGAGTGGATGGCGACGAGGGACGCGGGGGGCCATTCAATGAAGCGTGGTGTGTCGGGGCGGGGGGTGGCTAAACTACAAGTCGGGCGGGGAGGAGGGCCGCGCGGCGGAGAGCTGCGCTGCTGCGAGGGGTTGCCCGAGTGACCAGCAGCTGGCTGGCGGAGCCGGCGGCGGCAGCGGCGGGCTAGTCGACGCGAGACCTGACCCGACCCGAACCGACCCGGCGACCCGACCCGACTCGACCCCGGCCACCCCGGCCCGGCCGCCGCCGAGCGCTAATTTGCTGGTCGGTCTGTCTCTTTCTCACGCGCGCTGCACACCCCGCAGCTGGTGGCGGCAGCGCTCGCCGCTCTGCGCCGCTCCAAGGGGTTGTAAGCGCGCCGTGTTTATTCAGTGGCTCGGCGTCGCTTCTCGCCCCGCTCCCGCTCCGCTTGTTTTGCCTCGCGACGCCGCCGCGCGACCGACGCCCGTGCGGTACTTGTCTTCTCGAGTCCGTGTGTGGAAGAGCGAGAGGGAGAGTGAGAGAGAGCCAGATTAAGGGGTGGTGGGGAAGTGAGAGGGGATGAACAGACAGACGGACGGACGGACGGGTGGCGCATAGCGCGGGCGTAGCAGCAGCTCATCCACTAGGGGTGGGGCCGCCGGGCTGCGCTGAATACGTGCGGCTAGGCGGCGTGGTCGATGATCCGCCCCGCCCCGCCCCGCCCCGCCCCGCGCGGCGCCTCGCAATTAGGCAGCGCCCCACCCTCTTAGCCCCGCGCCCAGGGGTCGGGTCGGGCCCTGTCGGCGGCGGGGGCGGGCAAGGGGCGGCCTGCTGGTCGCTGTTGCACGGCGTGGCGGCCCCACCGTGACCACCACATGCCAGCGGCCGCCGGGGCCCCGGCCCCAGGGGAGAGAGAGAGGCTCACCACGGCGATCGCGCCGCTCCCCACCATACTCTCCGCCCCGCCCCGCGCCGCCCTGCCCCGCCCCGCCCCCGGGGTGTGTCCATACGCTGAGGCCAAGCCACACCACCAGGCTCACCAGGCAGGCCGGGCTTGTTGGGGCCACCCCGCCTGCCACTGCTCCTGCTCCTTGGAGTGCCGGCACGCCACGCTCCGCCACGCCCCTCCCCTCCCCTTCCATAGGGGTTGGCGCGGCGCGCGCAGTGCTCCGCCGCCGCCGCTGCCGCCCGCCGCCGCCGCCAGCCCAGCCAGTTCTCGCGCGGACGCCGCAGCGAGAGGTCTGGTTCGCGCCGCGCAGAGTCGACTCGAGCTGAGACGCGTCGCGCCACACAAGACTGCACGCCCGGCGAGTCAAGCTGTGAGTGTTGAGTGCGCCGCCCGGTGGTCTGCGACGGACGGATAACTTCGATGGATGGATAAACGGATGGATCTCGACGATGTGTTCAGTGTAGCTCGTGTGCCCCTCCCCCCGCCCCCTCTTTTCCAACCCCCAATTAAATTCAGAAGTGCGATGGGCAGTCAGTGTTGGGGTAGGTAGGTGTGGTGCTGGCCGGCGCGGCTCGCTTGGTCGGCGGCGCCGCCCTGTCACTTTGTCAGAGCTGCGCCTGTCGCACCCGCCCTGCTCCGCCCCTCCCCCTGCCCCCTTCCCCTCTCGCCCGCCGCGCTTCCCGCCCCTCGTATCATGTCAAGCAGCGGTCGGGTTCCTCCCCGCTCCGCCACCCCGCCGTTATCTCTCTGCTGGGGTGGTCCATCTGCCGGGGCGGGGCGGGGCGGCGCGGGCGGGGCGGCGAGAGAGAGGGAGGGGGAGGGAGGCGCGCGGCGCGGCACCGGCGCTGTCATCATTGGCCTCTAATGCACCCCCGCGCTAACCTGCTCCTCTCCGCGCTCTCCCCTCCCGCAGAGCGCACTCACTCCCTCCCGCACCCCCGCGCGCTCTTGCCTCTCAACCTCCCTCGCCCTCCCAGCCTCACGCGGTCACTCTCACGCCGATTCCCCCTCTCTTTCTCTCGCTCTCTCATTCTCTCCCTCTCTCTTTCAGTTTCTCTCGCTCCCTCTCTCTC